GGACCACAGCCGCTTCGGTAAGGGGCCGGGGGGTTCCCGGCCGGGCCGGGAGCAGGTGCCCCGCGCGCACAGCTAATTACCCCGCTAATATAAATCATCCCGGGACGGATATAATTGGCCTCCTAAACAAATGCTCTCACTCTCCAGCAATGCGGGAGTTTTTATTTCCAATTTCCTATTCTCCCGGCGCTCAGCCTTTCTGCAGGTGCACTAAAACGTGCCTTAGAAGAGGAGAAAAAAAGAAAAAGTAAAAAAAAAAATAAATTTTTAGAAAAGGATGGTGACCAGGTCTGGCTGCACCTCTGAAGTTAGCAGTGAGGGAGGCAAAAGAACAAATGCCTCGTTGGAATTTCATGGAAATTCCTATGTTGGAAAAAGCAATTCCTCACTTTTTTGGTTGTTTCTTTTTTTCCCCTCCTCCTTCTTTTTGGCCTCCGCAGATATGCGTGAGCTGCTTTCTTTAACTTGCATGAATTCCATTAGAAGAGCGTCTCCCCAAAGCGGGTAGGGATCAGATGGCTGGATGGGTGTCAGGACCTGGGTTTGGGAAGGTTGTTGGAAAGGAAAGGGGGAAGCTGAACGGGGAGAAACACTTAGGGGACCTCGGAAAGAAAGGAGAAGATGGAACAATAGGCAGAGCACTGTGGATTTACCTTGTCGCCCGGGATACAGCTGGAAGACTGCAGCGCCTGTATCAGTGGCACACAAGATCAGGGATCTCTAATGAGACTGTATGTAATCTTCAAAAAATGCATCCCAAGCCACAGGCGAAGGAGTACAGTCAGTTTGAGCACAGCTAAGAGAAATTCCCGCTACTCCAACATCTAGTGCAGGTGTCTGTGTAAGCTATCAACAAGTCCCATGCCAGTGATCTCAGCTATGTTGTCAACAGGTTGCAAGACGTGCTCGCAAGACTTTTTATAGTTTTCAAGTGATTTAACTCCTCCGTGAAAGGAATTCTTTTTTGCCTTTACTTTTTTGCAACCGGTCCTTTCCGATACTCCAGGAACTGTTGCCACTGCTATTGTTGGAGGTGTAAGACAGGTTTTTGGAACAATTGAGAAAGCTTATCTCCACACCACGCTTTCCATAAACACCAGGTGTGTGCATAGCATGTCCCTGCCTAAATCAACAAGAAAGTCATAACCCACAGGTCAGAGTCAGGTACTCATTTGCTCGTGGGGTGAGCGTTTCTTTAATTATCTCCTGAAAACACCCATCTTTTAACCTTTCATGCTGGGTTTCCGCATTAAAAGAACCGAGAGCGAACCCATTGCCTTTGGTTGGGTTTAGTTCAACCTGCCACGTAGTGTTTCTATTCTGCTATCTAACCTTTGTACAACTGAACAGCCGGTTTCAAACAGCACCATTTGGCTTGGGTCCATTTTTTGTACAGATCGAGTAAAACAAGTGTATTTGCAAACTTGGAAAAACGTGTTAAATGGGCTAAAACTTTTCATGAATTTTGTACACTGAAGCTTAAGTCACACAGTGCATTCAATAAATCGAAACATTGGCATTCCATAAGTGTTTTAGCAGTCAGCATCCAGCTCTGTAAACTAGACCAGACTTCAGATATTATAGTTTTCTGCTTCAGGTTTTTCCCAGAGGCGGTGTAAAATAAATAGTTATTTGTTGTAATTGCAAGACAAAGCCCCAAAGGATTAGGCTGGAATCCTTGCATTCAGATAAAGTTGGACTAAGCCTCACTTGAGCAGAGACTCAAAGCAATAATGTATTGGCACACAGTACTCACCATCTGCGTTCAGTAGCCATGAATATTTAAATTCCAGTGTTACTGGTATGGTTCATATTAGGATGTCATGTATCGATGCATTCCTAAATTTTGCATGCAGCATTCGGAAAGCAGTTACTTATAACAGAACTGGGCAGCCTGAGCAAGTCTGGGGACTCCAAAACTGTGGTGGGGGATGCAGAGCTAGACAAGGGGCTCAGGGGAGCAGTTTAAAGCTGCCTTAAATCTTGGGGCATCTGGGGAAATACTTAGAAATCCTGTGTAATGGTTCTGTGGATCAAGGCCCGTGGCTGGAAGGTGCTCTCTGATCTCATGAGTAGATAATTAACGTGCTCCACGGATGGCTGCGACCCCACGGCCGAGGCACGTGTCCAGCTGCAGGTGGGATGGAGGGGAGGACCAGACTTGGCGTCCCTATCTCTTAACTTGGAAGGGATTCAGGAATAGACAGGCAGTATTTGCACCCTCCCATGCACAGCCATCCCAAAAGCTACCAGATGTCCAAGACATCCACATCTTCCAGAGAGAAAAATAAAGAGCCAAAGCCCCAGTGATGCAGAACAGAGTCCCAGTGTCCACAGTGAGAGTTAAAGGGGGAGATCCTTTTGTACCACAACATTCGGGGATGTGACTGTAGGACACAGGGGAGGTGGTGGCATCATCCACCCACACTGCCCGAGCAATCACAAGAACTATTCCCTCTCATCTGTCAAGGACTGGAGCCATTCTAAATCACACCTGTCTTCTGGAATGCCATAATTTATACTTATAAAAACACAGATTCATGCAAGAACAATGGAGCACAGCATACTTTTCCTACAGGAATCTTAAAGCAAAATGTGGTGAAGCCCTCTGGGATTTTTGAAAGAAAGCTCATTCTCACACTAGAGAAGTGCCCAAATTTGCTCTCTAAACTGGCAGCTCTGGCAAAGGCATCCCAGAAAGAATAAAGTGTTTTCAAAAATGTATCTGTCCTGACTGCATCTGCTCAGAACCTTCCTATACAAAGAAATAAATGAAGGTCAAAATCTGGAGAGGGTCTGGACTGGCATCAGCACTCCTCTGATAACCCTTCTCGGAAGGAAACCAAGAGACATTCACTGGGGAAATCCATGCCAGGAGGACTGCTCTTTTTCTGCCTTGTGTCTCTTTTACAGCAGCATTCGAGTCAACCCAACAGTGCTTCTCTTACTGCAGTGGAGGAGAGAAAGAGGCCTTGAGTTTGCACTGCAGATGAATAAAGGCAGCAAACGAAGCTCTTCACGGGTACAAACCTGCTCATGGCTCTGTTACACAGACTCCAGGAGAAGCTGCTGAAACCTCCAGAGAAAGTTTTGCTGCAATTTTGACATTCAGACCGCAGTGCACCTGTTGCCAAACAGTTGTTGAGGTTTTTAGCTGAAGCTTTAGGTTTGTAGTCATTAATACAACATCTGTTTCTGTACCCCAGCTCCCAAATATAGTCGTGTAAGAAGAGACAGGTGCCGGGAGCTGAACTGTTCTTCGGTTTAGCGTAAGGGAAGAGCGTGGGGGTCCAGCCACAGCAAAGCCTGGGAGGTTATTCAGTGCTTTGGTGGTAAATTAATCCAGTTGGAGTCTTAATCAAATCTCTCCACGTCTTATCTGGAAAGGCTCAAGGAACAAACAGAATGAATCAAAGTGAGAAAAAAAAGAGGCAAGTCCTGGGGGAAAGAGAAAAGAAAGGAAAGGGGGGGGGAAAAGCATGTTCTACCACAAAAACACACCGCTACAATTGGAAAGAGAATTCTTGAGCTGGCCCCAGTGGCCACTCCCTGTGCTGCTAAAGATCAGATGTACGAAGCTGCAATTTTGTCTAGAATTGGAGTGAGTTAAGGACAGGATGGATATCCGCCCACATTTTTTCAGCCTTCACTCTGTCTCCTGACTTTTGTGGGTTTAAGTTACGTTCTTAATGCCGTTTCAACATAGTCATCTTCCATGCATGTCTCCAAGTGCCACTCAAAGATCAGAAAAGGGGAATATTACAAGGGATGTTGTTAGAAGAGATTGTCATGGGCACATTTACAAGAAATTTCGTTTGCGACACTAGCGAGTGTCTGTCCAACCAGCACCAGAGGAGGGGTGTCCCACCTTCCTCTCACAGAGGGAAGATGCAGATGCAGCTCCTGGCTTTGTCCTTGCCAGGTCTTTGGAGACCTGGTTTCATGTGCCTCGTACAGAACGTGCTTGTGGGCATATTCAAGAAAAGCTCTTGGTTCCCCTGCCTCAGACCTCCATCAGCTGCATTTCCCTGCTTCCCAGGGGTGACAGAAGACAAAAAAACCCAAAAAACCCAGAAACTGGTACTGAGACCTGTGACTATACCTATGGGAATGTCCATCTACTCTTCTCCAGGTACCTGATATTTTTCACTTCACTTGTCTCCAGCCTGGGAAAGACTCCACTGTTCTTAGGTATCTCTGTACTCCTATATTATTTTTTACACTCTCTCTAGCTGTTGTCCATCTTCCTTCACCCCCTCCTTTCCCAACAGTGGCTGTGGTTGTTTCTGTCCTGTGGATGGGAAAAGAGCAGTCAGCAGTTCAGTAACTCCCTCACATGTCAGAACCAGCAGGGAGTGGAGGCAGGAGACCACCCCTCATCCTGCCCCCTTCCCTCCGTGTTTGGGATTCTTTTCAGCTGAGAAACTACAACAACTACCGAGGACCAAGCAGAGCAGAGCCAGGGTCTGGTTTGCCTGCCTGGCTTGGGAAGGCTGCCTTTGCTGCCTGGTCCTGGTCCCTCGGAAGGCAGGATGTGCCCCCAGACTGGGCCATATAGCTGGGCATATTTAAGCTTGTAAAATGTCTGCACTGGTCCATAAAGCGTGTTTTGTGTTATTTGCTTCCCTGTTTGTCTCCAGGACTTGCTGCTCTCGAGTCCATATTTTGTCTCCCTCAGCACCCACTCGGTGCAGGGAGAGCTGGGTTCACTGCACAAGCCCCAGAGTAGGCAGAGCAAAAGGAGGACAGAAAGGCTGATGGAAGGTAGGAGGGCTGACCCTTGCTTGGCTGCCAGCGTGTGAGTGCCCAGTCTGCCCTGAGCCAAGGGGGACAGAGGTGTCCGTCGTGTCTGGCCTGTCCTATATTTAGGCAGTGATGCAGAGTCGTCTGAGAGCTACCACGTCCAGGCCTGGAAGCAGGACACGTGCCCGGGCTGAGGGACAGCTCAGGCTGGCTGGGTCAGGCAGTCACGCGGTGCTGCCAGCGAGGAGCTCGGGGTAACCCGATCACAGCGGCCAGGGCTCAGCACCGGGGCTTGGGGCTAAATTGGGAGGCCTGGAGCCACGCTAAAGGTTAGAGCAGCTTTCTCCTGTCAATGGAGACATCCAGGCGTTAGATGAGATGAGGAAAACCCTCTTCCTTCTACCTCCCAGCTAATTAATTCAGCACTGGACACGGGCAAAGGCTGCCCATGACCTCTAGCTAGGGAGTGTGTGATATCCAGAATAACACAGTCCCACTACTGCCTTCGGGAGGTTTTCCTGAGAAGTTTGAAGGTCTCCACCACCTGTGATGCTGGGTAGGAGCTGTTTGTTTTTAAGTGCTTCACCGAGGATTCTCCTATGACAAGTCTTTCCCCCATGGAAACATCTGCTGTGCCCCCTCCCGGCACTAGGGTGCAGCAGGCAGACCCCACTAATTACCTTGCCGGAGGAAATGAGGCTGCCCCTCATTACTGCAGTGTCTGACACCGTCATCACAGGCTGAAGCCCATGGGTAAAACAGTTGCTCTCACAGGGCTGGGGATGACTGGGGCAGATGCTGCTGGACTGGGAAGAAGCTGGCAGGAGGCTGGGGCAGGCAGCAGGACATGGAGCAGGAGGGGGTTGTGGCACTAACAGTGGCAGGGGGTGATGGAGGAAGGACTGGCAGTGCCGTGGCTCTGAAGGCTGCAGAGGAAGATTAATTTTTACCTGTGTGCTTTGAAGGTGGATTTTATCCCTGTGGCTTGTATAAACATTTGGGGATGTCAAGTACCCCACTGGAGTGCCAGGATGAAGATGGTCTTCACAGACATCTCTTCTAGTGTTTTTTTTACTTATTTTTACTGAACTCATCACTTTAGAACATGTGGGACTATCATCTCAAACCAGAAGCCAAAATCACTCTCCTTTCGGTGAAGAATAAAAACCAACATGGTAACACACTTCTGAAATTTCTAGAGGCCAGGCACAAGTTTCCACATCTGTCTTCTTGGTGATAATTTGGAAAAAATCCAAACCAAAACAACAAAAAACCTTGCAAAGCTTTTCTCATTAGCAAAGGTAATCCCTGTTGGGCAACTCAGATTCACAATGCTGGGGGGAAGCCCAGACTGGAAACTGGAACACTGCACACGGATGGGACTAGAGATTTAAGAGCAGTGTTTTTATTTATAATGAAAACAGAGTCTGTAGGAAGCTGATTTGTGTTTGTCACTGGAGCCTAATGTTGGTTTTTTCCTCTGTATGATCTGCAGTTCTTTTCTGTTTCAGGGATTCTGGAGTTCATCAGCCTGGCAGTGGGGCTGGTGAGCATCCGTGGGGTGGACTCCGGACTCTACCTCGGCATGAACGAGCGAGGGGAGCTCTATGGGTCGGTAAGTGTGGGGTGTGCTGAGCCCAGCCCTGGAACACCCCCAGCACTGCAGCCTGTGCCACGAGCTGGGTCTGTCACAGCCTCCAAAGCCCCTGGTGCCACCCTGCCCGTGGTGCCACTGCTGGCACAGCACAGAGGGTGGATGAGGGGGTGCTCGCTGAGGTGTTGGCTGTCAGGAATGGCCTGGCAATGGCCAGACAGAGACGGGGACATTTAGCATAAAACCAGGAGATGCTGGTGTGTTCTCCCAGCCCCACTAACATCAGCTGTGTGCTCTGCTTGGTCAGGGGCTGCACCTGTCTGCAGATTTGACCTTTGTATTATGACCTTAACCAACAGAAGCTGAAATTTGGGCCTGAGTGTTTTTGTAATGTGCTCTGCAACTCCTTTTAGGAGTTTAAGACTGCTGTTCATAATTCCCTGGAAGTGCCCTTTTCAATCTAAAGTTTTCCCTGTTTTGACAAAAAAGCCCAAGTGTAAACTCCTTTAGTGTTATGATTTGCAGTCAAAATGCCAGGTCTTAACAGCTGAGCAGAGGTTCTTCCTACAGGTTAGTTTAACTCAATTCTCAGTTACTTAGCTCAATTCAATATAAGATAGTTATTTCTAGTTAGCTGGAACAATCACTTCTATTTTGAAAACTTAATTGCACTCCAGAGAGCCATTCTAAATTCCATTTTTTGTAACTGCTGCACTTCACTGATGCTTTCAGGTGCCCCATGGCCTTTAATTCAATCTATCACCTGCGTGTGATTTTTTTTAAATGTCTCTTTCTAGATCCTAGCACTGCCCTGGGTGAGGATACTGATTTTTAAGGATGGATCACAGTAAATGTAAAATGAAATAAAATAAACCAGTTTTAAACCAAAGTAGAAGGCACATACTTCCTCTCACCAGATCAGATCAATCTCATAGCGTAAAAATTTAAACTCATGTACTCTGTGTACAGAGAAACCTTCAGAAAACCTCTGCTTAGCAGACAGTAAATCACAAGATTCCATCATCTTTCCTTCTCCCATTCCCATCTGAGACTGCCACAGACCCTTTCACTACTTAGATGCAATTGCTGATGTTTATATGAGATATTTGCCCAGAGAGGTTGTGGAGTCCCCATCCCTGGAAGTGTCCAAGGCCAGGTTGGATGGGGCTTGGAGCAACCTGGCTAGTGGAAGGTGTCCCTTCCCATGGAACAAAGTGATCTTTAAGGTCTCTTCCAACCCAAACCATTCTATGATTTTCTGATAATCAAATATCAGCATGCACTGATAACTGTTCTTTTTCCACCTCATTTCTCTAATAATTTCTACCCTAAACAGACATTAAATGCAGAGACAGTAGTTAAATTAAAAGTTATTTATTACATTACAAATGATAGATAAAAAAGAAAATCACCAGGATTCCATAAAACACAAAAAATCCTGAAGCCCACTTCAGAAAGCAGGGTTGGATCAGCATCTTTCCTGTCAAATCCCAAGGGTGCTCAGCAGCTCCTGGAGTCACAGTTTTTGCTTGTGACTGCTGGAAAGGAGGACATGAGATCCCCCTCTCTGCCTTCAAACCCTGCAACTCTGTTTGTGAACTGAGTTTCATGATGGGTTAATTAAATTCTAGAGCCTGTGTTCATGTTACAACACAGGAACAAAAATAGGATAACATTTTACAGCACTGAATCTGGAAACAGAATTGACCTGAAGACATAATCTTGGGAACTGTCCCTGCCCATGTCAGGGGGTTGGAATAAGATGATCTTTAAGGTCCCTTCCAGTCCAAACCATTCTGGGATGTTGTGCACCAGGCAGCACCCTGACTGGACACTGCAGGGACACAGTCAAACTGCTGCTCCAAAGTGTGCTGGAGTCACGAGCCAGGTCCCCAAATAACCCTGGAGTTTTAAAATCTGGGACACGTGGGTTGTACAATGATGGCTTTTCGAACTCAAAAGCCACTACAGTATTCTTAATTAAAGGTCCATAAAACAGCCTGACAACAGCATTAGCATTACAATGGTATTTTGGGACATCACAGTACAGCGGTATTTTAAAATTTTCAGCCAGTTTATTATTTCCCTCTGTGCCAATTTTGCCTGATCCGTGTGTTGATCCAGCCACCCCCGCAGCGACACGTGGAGTCCCCTCGGGACACACAGCCTGTCCCTGTTAAACTCATGCCAACACTTCTGTGGAGCTTCCCAATGATTTCAGGAGTGCCACTAATACTTAGGGCAGCAGAAGTCCTGGGCAGCACCTTGCATGCTGCCTGTATGGTGTCAGGTTCAGTGGGGACATCCCAGGGCTTGGAAAGGAAGAAATCCCACCTGGCAGAGTCACCCCAGACTTGCCAAACATTTTCCACAAACACTGTACTCCAAACTGCCCAGCGAAGCAGAAATGAACAGGGGCAAAGCAGCAGCACAAGAGTTCAGCCAGTCATCAGGTTCCAACATATTCTGAGTAAATGGCACCCAGGGAGGAGGGAAAAAACCAACCTGTATTTATTGACGCATCGGGGAAGAGAAGCCCACGGTTCCCAGGTCTCAAATGGCCAGGGCTGTAGCCTGGGGCTTTTAGAGGGCTCACAACTTGCCTCAGGGTTTATTTAATTAGCAGCAAAACATTGAAAACAGGTTCTGAGCACAGGTGAACTCCTGGATCGTGTTACAAAACATCTACTGCAGGCAGTAACATTTACTGAGCACTCCGTGTGCCACGGGTAGGACACATTCCCTGCCTGGGTAGCTGACAGTGTAGTACAGTGTGTGTAATATCATAGCACCCTGCACTGGCAGACTGCCTTTCATCCAAAAGGACTCCCATGTCCCCCTGGCAGTCTCCCTGTCGGATGGGATGGGATGCCTGATCCCTCTGTGACCTCTGGCAAAGCGACCCCCGTGTCGTTGTAGGGCAGGGGACACAGCTCTGCTCCCCACTGCAGCGGGGCACATCCCACAGCTGGCACGTGGAGGTGGGAGGGAGAGGGAGGGAACACTGGGCATGAAGTAGAAAGGCATTGTCAAAGGGCTGCTGCTGACAGCCCTGGCTGGAGGGGCTGGAGGGGCTGGAGGGAAAGGCTGGTTGTGGCTGTGGTGACATCAGTGCCATCCATCCCCCTATCCCAGCGTGGGATGCACCAGCCATGGGCTGGCACATGCTCATCACATCACCTGTCACCACTCTACGTCTTCCCTGGGGTCTGACATCCTCGGGGCACTGCTTCCCATCCCTCTGGGTCTTGTTATGGGCTCCCATCAGAGCTCACTGGAGCTCCAGGAGATGAAACCCTCAGGAATGCTTTCATTCCCATTGCAGCACATAGATCTGTGCCCTGAACTTCCAGAGCAGTGCTTGCTCCTGTTTTCCTGGTTAGACCCTGTGCTGCCTGCTGCTTTGTCACCCAGGAGAGGGTTTTTGGGATGTGTGGTACCTTGGAGGGGGCTGCTACAGGGGGGGGAAGGTGGCAGCCCCTGCACAGGACATGTCTCTGCCTGGCAGACGTGTCTGACGTGTCTGCCTGTTTGACTTCTTTATGGGCACCTTTACAAAATGCACACCTTCCTTCTGCTCCTCCTCCTGTCTCCTTTCTCCTCCAACTCCAGTGGTCTTTGGGTGCCGGCCGGTGCCCATTTCCAGCTCTCAGCCAGGGGGAGTGTCCCCAGCAGCTCCCCCTCCTCAGGGGAGCCAGGAGAGGGCAGCCGGGAAAGTTACGGAAAAATAAAGTAAGGAAGTGGGAAATTCTTTCCTCTTTTAAATTTTCGATAGCAAGGTGTCCTTGTTCCCCCGCAGAAGAAGCTCACCCGGGAGTGCGTTTTCCGCGAGCAGTTCGAGGAGAACTGGTACAACACGTACGCGTCGACGCTCTACAAACACCCCGACTCCGAGCGCCAGTTCTACGTGGCCCTCAACAAGGACGGCTCCCCCCGCGAGGGCTACAGGACTAAGAGACACCAGAAATTCACCCATTTTTTGCCCCGGCCTGTGGACCCTGCCAAAATCCCTGCCATGTACAGAGACCTCTTCCACTACAGGTGATGGTTCCTGCGCTCAGTGTACATACCTGGGCTCCCGAGCTTTTTCCCAGAGCACTGTATTAATAGTCATTCCATCGTTCCTGTAAGCATAGATGACCTAGGGAAGCACTTACATTGAATTCAGACACTGCTCTTCCTCCTGGTTTGCAGCATATATCAAACCTGGGTTATTTATGGGGCGGGGGCAGGGGAAGGGAGGGAACCCTACATTTAATCTTTCATTCTCATTCACCTTCGTTACCCGGTTGCTACATGAGAGTCTGAATATTCAGTGTTACGGTTGCTTAAAGGAACAAGCAGGTGAGCAAACCTGATCACCAGAGGGGGGAAAAAAACCCCAAACCGACCTAAAAATGAAGAGAAGGAAAGAAAACAAAAGATCACAGAACTTCTGCAGATACTGCTGCTGAGCTGGGATGGTTCCCTGCTAAGGAAAAGCCTTTTGAGTGGTGCCCTGCTTGAGCAGCCTGGGGAGTTTGCTACATGGTTGATGCTCTGTGGACTGGTCCTGATGTGTGGGGTTCTTCCTGCTGTTGGGGTGGGAATGGGGCAAGGAACATTATTCAGATGTAAGCATGGATACTGTGCATAAGGACAAAACTATTTATAAAATGTATATGATATTTATTTTATATATTTATTTATTTCAAAATAATTTTATTTTTAATGAGAGATGCTATGACCGGATTTTCATCAGGAAGAATAAGGTCCTACTGAAACAGGAAAAAAAAAGTTTTAAGAGCTTATTGGCAATAAAATTGTCTTTATATTGTAGATTTCTTGCTAGCCCTTTTTTTTTGGCTCTCTTCAACAATTAAACCAGTATTTCCCCTTCAATATGGACATTGAGACCACCTCTAAAAGGGCTTTGGATGGTAAAGATCAATTACCTAAGCCCCAAACTGCTGTAGAAGGATGACATCAAATTCCAGGAGCCTGGGAAGCACTGGTGCAGCTCTGGGCAGGAGTTGTGGGCAGCTGAAACCTCGGGATGTGACACAGCCACTGTGGATTTACTGTCCTGTTCAAAACCAGGAGGAGACACATCCGGAGCACCTGCTGCATTTTGGATGGGCCTGCCATTCCTGCAATAAAAGCACCACGTCTGTCGTGAGACTCACCTGAAGCACCGTGGAAAACCGGTGAAGAAAAACCAGAAAGCAGCAACAGCAATTTTAAACCCCCTCATTTTTAAGCAATTCCCGGGGATGAGGATCATCCCCTCAGGCAGCACGTGTGTGACATTCTCCTCTGCAGAAGCTGCCTGGACCCACGGGCCCATCGCCTTTGCTCTGCCTCAGCCGGGCTCAGCCCGGCCCGGGGCAGCCCCAGAGCCACAACCCAGCGCCACAACCCCAGAAGTCAAACCCCCGGATCCCCCCGCAGCCCCCAAATCTCAAGCCCAAAAAGCCCGCCAAGCCCCCCAAAAACCGCAGCCCCCGGAGCCGCAGCCCTGCTCTGGTCCGGCCGGGCCGGGGACGCTCCCGCGGCAGCACAGGGTGACACCCACGCCACACGTCTGCCCTCACTGCCTGCTCGGGATGGCACAGAACTGCGGGGAAAGCTCCCGGGAAGGATCCCCGTTTATGTTTTGTCCCCTTCGATCAGCAGAGAGGGATTCCAGCACGAGGTGGGAGCGGGAATGTGCAGTTGCAGAGTCACTTTGCAGCACGGATGGTACTGAACGGGGTTGTCTGGAACGTGCAAAAATCTGAACAAATACAGCTGTGGTGGCTTTGGGTTGGCGTTTTCCTTATCACAACTGCTTTGTTCACAGTGTTGTTTCTCAACCTCCTCCTCACAAAACAGTCAAGGTAAAATCTCAGCTCCTTCAGCTTCAGTGGGTGAACCCCCAGGACAATTTCACTGACCTAGGGGAGGATCCACCCCAGCTTCTTCATGAGCTGCACCACTAAGGGCAGTGGCAGCTGGTGCCCAGATCTGCTCCCAGCTGTCTCTTGCCCTCTCTGCCACCTCCTGTGTCCCTTCACTGTCCCAGCAGGTCCAGCAGCCACCAGACAATGGGCTGGGGATGGAAACGAGGAGATTATAGGAGCTTTACCTTCAATGATCCAGACATGAAGGAATTTAATCCCGTGTTTGAAATAAAAAGTGTTTATTTAGCTTCTTCCTCTGAGTCACTGCTGAAACATCTCACCCCCAGCCGCCACGCCGGGAGCACGAGACACGTCCTCAGGTGCACTTTTGACCTTTCCCTGCGTGAAGGGAAATCCCTCTGCCCCCCAGGATGATCCTGCCTCACTCCAGCCCAGGCTTTCCATTGCACTTGAAGATAAATCTGGTGGTTAAGATCCTGCTCTTTTCCAAAATGAAGGTCAAAACCTGATCTCAGCAATGCCAAGTACATTTTCCACCAACTCAAAGGGAAGATGATGTGGCCCATGGGTGCAACATTGGACTCATTCGTCTGATACCTGACTCAAGGAGCTGCTGCAGCAGAGCCTCTGGACACAACAGAGGTGCCAGGGATCCTGTAAAATGCCTTTTTGGGATCTAGGTTCAAAAAACTGATACTTGCAAAAAGCAAAATCCACAAAGAATTTACTGGAAACCCCTTGGTAAAGGTTGGTGTCATCTCCCATGTGGGCACCTCAAGGGGGAATTCGGCATCGCTAAATCCCACCCAGATGGTTCTTTCACAGGAATCTACTGGGTTTGGTCCTGGTCCAACAAAACAAAGATGTGAGTGAACTGACAGACCTGGGAGCTGAACAGCAGCAGAGAGAACAACCGCAGACTCCGGGGGCATTTTGAGTGGTGTGGGAGCAGCCAGTGTGGGCAGGGGGTTCATGTGGACACACTCCCCTCTCTGGCCCATCCCATCCCTGCAGAGGAATGGGCTGTTCTCCCATCCAGCCGTTCCCCCACCTGGAGACGCCGACTCTCCTTCGGCTCGGAGTGTCCCAGGGCTGGCAGATGGATCCTGCAGCAGAGCAGCACACGGAGCCTTGGCCGAGGGGCCTCTGCTCCTGAATTAGCAAAAGGAAATGTCAGTGTTTGTTTGGGATCTCTGTGTGGTTTCCATATGATTCCAGCTCACAACAGCCAGCTGGAAAACTTCTCCCAAAGGGAAGGCAAAGGCTAGTGCAGGTCCCCAGAAACCCCACGGTGCCCCCAGCCCCAGCGCTGCTCTGCACACAAAAGGCTGCAGGTCTGGAAACACCACAGCAAACAGGACAAAAGGCATCACTTGCAACCCTTCTCCTTCCACCCGAGAGGGGCGGGCGTGTTGTACAGGAAACATTATCCTGGGACAACTGTGCAGAGCAGGAGGGAGGTTGGTGCAAAGAGGTGGGGAAGTGCTGGAGTCTCGCTGTGGAGGGCACAGGAACAGGGGAACCTCCTGCCTGAGGCCAGTGTGGGGCCAAGCACAGCAACAATGCCCGTCTGCCCGGCTTTGGCACATGATCCGAGGCACAGGGATGGATTGAGGACACACACCCACAAGGGGCAACATACACATGTCCTCAGGCACATCCCAGGAGAGACCCCACTGCCCACAGGGAGCTCTCCTGGGTGGAACGTGTGGCTTGGGGCTCCTTTCTAAGGAGAGGAGGCCCCAAAGACCTACCTCCTCTGGAATGAGCAAGGGAGAGCCCAGAACTGCAGAGGGAATCCAGAAACTTGGTGCTGGAAGGCAGGGAAGGAGCCCTTCTGGTGCTGTCCCACCTGGCTGTCCATCCAGAGACATGTGCTGCAGCTGAGATGTTCCTGAGAGGGCACTCGGGGATGGAGCATTCCTGAAGGAGAAGGGCTGAAATTCCTGTTGATGGGGAGAGAAAGACATCCATAGCCTCTGGGACAGCACTGGTTATTTATTTATTATTTTTTCCCCAAAGCAAGTAATGGCTTCAGAGCTGTTAAATTCTCATCATGGAAAACACCACAGGTGTCACCTCTTGGCCTTGCTGGGTTTGAGCAGGAGCCCTGCAAAGCCAAATCCACCAAGGAGTCTCAGGCTCTTCCCTCACCGTACCAGGAGGTGTTTGGCCCCACAATGCCCATGACCAGGAGGGGCAGATCATCCACCTGCACTGCTGCTCAGGGGCACCAGCCAGAACCCCCAAAATGGGGAACACACTTTGTGCAACTGAATTACAGAAGTAGCTGCTGTCCCTGGATCAGGCTTTGAGCAGTGCCCCAGGTATCAGTTACTGTCTCACACTCCATCTCAGGTGGTTTTCGTGCACACCAGTCATTAACACAAAGCCAGGGCAGCGTTTGAGATCAGACCTTGGCAGTGGCCGAGTGCAGAAGCTGAGGGGTGACTCCACTTCCCCCTGTGCCCACCTTCCCTGAGCCCTGTCCTTCTCCAGGGCAGCATCCCCATGTCAGGCCACAGCCTTTTCCCAGTACCCTCTTCCAATCACCCCCAAGCCACCTCCCCCCTGGGGAAAGCAGGAACAGGAGCTGTGACTGGATGAATCCCAGCTTTTCCCCCTGTCTGCTGCGTGGTGGCTGCAGGCACAGCAGTGACACAGGGTCACACACAGGACCATGGAGCAGGAGCTTCTCCAGACCCTCCCCAGCAGCACAGCTCTTCCCAGGACAGGTTTGGATTGAATCCTGCAGAGTAGGTTCTGTAGCACAGAGGGCACACAGGGGGTTATTCACCACCTCAGCAGGTGCCGTGTGATTACATGGCTGGTGCTGCAACACCACCGTTCTTCCATACCCCTCAGCTGGGAATGTTTAGGACACTTGGCTTTCCATAAAGATTGAAAATTTATCCAACTTCAAAATTATTTTTTGCTTGAACTGATGAATTCAGTTTTATTTTCTCTGTGCAGTGGTTCTGCTTTCAAGGTAAAACCAGAAACCACTCAGGGTGGGCACTGAGGACGTGACACATCAACACGTGGGAGCAACTCAGCCCCTGCTCTGCACAGGGGACTTACCCAGGACAGGGACAGCCACCATGCCACTGCCCTCTGTCAGAGTGTGGAGCCAGGCTGAAAGGCACAGGGATATTTAAGAACACACTGCTCACAGTGCAGTGCCCACAGTGCCCCTCAGAGCACAACCTGATGATCTTTCACGGCCCTTCCTGAGCTTCCTCCCACACCAGCTGCACCCCAAGCAGCACTGTCAGGAGCCACAGAAAACCCTCCAGCACAGGGAACAAGGGTAGGGCAGATTTAAAAACAATCATCACACAATTTTTTTGCGTAGGAAAGAGGTTTTTTTCCTAACAGGTGGGATTTAATAACTAAGGCATGGAGAAGTACAATTATGAGGCTAAAATATGGCAGTAGGTTGTTCTGATTTGACCAAGTAGAACTTCACCTCACTTGACCATCTCACTG